GTTTTGCTATATATTTAAATTTTGGTTCTTCATAAACTACAAACTCTTGTTCTGTGATATGTGTGGATTGTGATAAAATCGATTTTAAAGATGCAGAATATAATGATTCTGAATCATCAAAATCTTGTTCAGACATTAATTGATTTTTATATATATAACAGTGTTTTTTTTTTTTAAGCTTGAAGTATTTTTCACAATAATAAAGTTTTTTTTTAATATATCTATATATAAAGGAATATGTTGGCATTGTTTTACGATTTTTAATTCAAAGACTTTTTTGAATTAATATTGTTTGTTAATTGAAAGTGAAATATTTTGTATGGAAGTTGAACTAATCGGAAGTAAGAAATTCTGATTTGGTTAAAAAAATTAGATTGTTTTTGAATATTCTTGTTATTTTTTATATGAATAAAATTCTATTCAGTTACAAAACTAAATAGAAAATAAATTTAATATTTATAATAATAATATATTTATTGTGTTTCAATGTTAACATCAACATTATCATCTTCCTTCACATCACTAAAATCCTCTTCAATTTTCTCAATCATGCTTGTAATAAAATTTGATTTCATAATGGTATCTTTTTTAGAACTAGATAAAACATTAGTTCTAAAAGCTTTAGATTTAATGTAGAGTTCATAATTTCATTGTTTAGGCATCTTCTGTTCGATTTTTTTATACCCTTCAACAACCTTGTTATAGTAGTTTAAATATAGATTTAAAAATTTCAAACATTTTTCTTTGTCTGAAAAAGCACTTTCTAATGCTTGCTCTTCAATCTCATTTGTGACTTTCTAATTTTTTAAATCACAATAGTATTTGATTTCAATATTTGTATATGGTTTATGTTTCTTGACAAAATCGTGAAGACTGGTTTTAACTTTTGGCATTTTTTGATTATTGTTGATGTGATTGCTGTATTTTTTTTTTTTAATTATATATAAATAAAATTCTAGTTGGTCAATTTTGAATTGACTAACTAGTGTAATGAATTTTATTAAATAAAATCTTAACAATAAATAAAAATAATATAATGATAATAATACAAATGTGTTTTTGATTTTTTATTTTAAATATCTTTTGAAACACTTCTCCCAATATGATGTCCATAACTTCTGATAACTTCAAATGAGTTGTATTAATAATTTTTGAAACTTTTCTTGCTTTATTAATTAGAGAATTGGATATTAAATCACGAATTAAGATATCAGAAAAAATATTTACAATTGCTGATTTGTGTAATTGCTGCACACATCGATGAATTCACGTTTCAAACTCTGCCAACAATACAATTTTCAATTCAGTATGTGGTAGTATGTTAGTTGTTGTATCATGTCTAGTTATAACATAGCCTTTTTTTTTGGTAATATTTTTAATGGTTGAATTGATTGCTTTTCGTAATTCATTATTTTTTGATAACTCTGATGCTCTTTCCCCAGAATAGTTATAATCTTGTTCATCTAGCTGCTCGATTGTTAAAATTAATTTATAATTTTTTTTTAAATTTTCAAGATTTTTAATTAATTCAGAAACTGAAATATTATCATCAAAATAATATTCTAAATATCTATAAAATAATTCTGAATTGATGAATCGATATTGAAGTTTTTCTGCTAGCATCTTTCCAACAGACATTTTACCTGATGCTGCTATTCCATCAATCGTGATATTGATTCATTGTTCTATTGTGTGAAAGTTATGTGATTAAAATCCTAATCGGTTATTTAACTGATTAGGGATAATATTTTTAATTATATTTTTAGTATCATATAGTGTTTGTAAAATATTATTCTCTCTATATAATAAAATTATTCTAGTTGAATTGTTTGCTTTTTTAATTACAGCTTGTGAATAAAAATTATTTGTTACTAGAAATCCAACAATATTACTTGATAAATTTTTTTAAATTGGTTTATAATACAGATTTCAACTAACTTGTTTCTATAATTTGTTTTAACTATATAACATAATTCACCAATTCGACTGATTAATTTTAACTCTAATGATAATTCTTTAATCAAAGAATTTTTTAATGATTTCTTGACAAGAATATTATATAAATTTTGCTTTTCCATGATTAAAAGATTACTATAAAATAAAATAAAAAAAGTGAGCAACATATCATCATTACAACCAAACACTTTATACTCATTTGTTACTAGTTGCTTTCTGAAATCAGTAAAAAAACTAACTGTGAAATGAAATTAGACCAGTTCATCTAAACAAGTAGCATGACTTATGATGCTTGATACGCTAAATAGATCACTTAGTAAGCAAATATATATTTACTCAAATTTCAAATAGACAATGATTAAACTTATAGTTATATAAATAAATATTTAATTGGTTAATTAATTAACTAATTAAATTAATATATTTTATTTAATAATTTATTCGATATTATTATTGTGTAAATGCATAAAAGATACTAATATTGTTGCAAATGATAACAATTGAAAAAGTTTTTCCTCTGTATTAATTTTTGACAAGTTGATATAATTATAGTTTGGTAGTAATTTAAATAAATCTTGATATTTTGTTTTAAATTTTTAAGTATCTTTGAAATCAAATGCATCTAAAAAGAAATATTTGTTTTTTAATTCGTTATATTTATCACAGAATTAACATATTTTGCTTTATATAATTAAATTTCTAATCAGTACAAAATAGTACTGATTAGATAAATAGTAAAATTATTTAATCATCATCTTCTTCAATTGTAGGCATCATAAATTTTGAAACATATTTTTTCTTTAATTTGTAAAGAAATAAAGTATAAGTTTTGTAAAGTAATATTTGAATTATATAATTATAATAATTTTCATATTTCTTGCAAAATATTTGTACTTTTTTACAATTATCTTAAGTATAGTTATTGAATAAAATGATGTTTCGAATTTTATTGAAATTGTTACAATATTTTTGTTCCAATTTTGAAGGCATTTTTTTTATGTATTTAAATTTTTAGCTGGTATCTATTAATGATACTAGCTAGATCAATTAATTTTTTTATTTTTTTTTTCAAAATAGATTTGAAGTGTGATAATTAAAAGCTCTTGTTTCATTCTCATTAATATATAAGACAAATTTATCATTTTTAATTATTCATGAATAATATTATTTAGATTATTTGTATGAAATTTGCATTTTGCAAATTGGTTTTTTTGACATGTGGGATATATAAATCTACATATATAAACACATTTACACCAATTAACATTTTTCTTAAATGCTGTACAACATATATGGGATAAAAATCATTGCAATTCCAACATCGACCACCATTTATTCCATAAGTATATTTATGATGTGTGTTAACCAATTGTATTTCATTGGAAAATAAAAAGAAATCATGTTTGTTTATTTGTGAATTTTCTTGAAGATATTGATTGATTGGGATAAAATTATTATTATTTAATGTTAAAACTGATATATTAGATTCTAAATCATCATCTTGATAATTTTGAGAAAAATAAAGTTGTTCAACCGAAACGAGAAATTAAATAAATGTATGAAAAAAGATTGTAAAAATTTCATTGAATCATAAAAAATCTATTTTACATAATTAAAATTCTACTCGGTCAAAGACTAAGCAAAAGGAGAAAGTAGATAATACTCTGGAGATTTGAGTTTGTATTTCTCAATTTTTTTTAACCATTTATTTATTATTTTTCCTGTGTTTTGAATAATCTTTTTATTTTTTTTTTTACCCTTATGAAAGATATATTGTTTAAATTCATGAAGCATTCTTTGTTCATTCTTATAGATTGTTGTGCCTATGTTATTAAAATTTTTAACCCAAAAGAAAATATTATAATCCAATTTATAAATCTGAAAATAATTTTTGAATCTCATCAAAGAATCTTTTTTTGAAAGACAATTTAATTTTTTACTTTGTAGTAAAGATTTATTAACAGATTGTAAGATCTTGAAATAGAGACAATATTTATAGAAAGGGCATGCTAGATTTTGATAATATTTGTTATATTGCCAAAGATGAGGATGAAATAATTAAGTAGACAAATTGCAAAAATTGGTTTTATCAGTATCATATTTACTTGGAAGAAATTAAAAAATTTAATATACTAAGTGTGCTTTAGTATATAAAATTCTTCTTTGGGGTTTCTTTTTTTATATTGAATCACATATGATTTTGAAAAATTAATATTTTGCTACAAAATAATGTTTTTTACAATACAAGATTCATAAAGAATCTTGTATTGTAAACATACATAACAATTAAAATGTGTAGTAATATCTCATTGTTGCATCTTGAAAGTAATAATTACTTTCTAACTAGCTTACTCGAAGAGTGTGTAGTTGTTATCAAATCCTGAGATTTGATATGGACTTTTAGTTGAAAATTAAGCTCTTTTTATAGATATTTTTCAAGAATAGCAATTTTTTTCTAAGTTTTTTTCTTCTTGTGAGTAGTTTAGTTACTACTCAATATTTTGATTAAAATAATAGCTAAACCTATTTCATAAATTTACAAATTTGGTTAAATTTATGAAATAATTATTTCATTTTTATCAATTTATGAAATTGGTTAGATTCTTATTCAGGTATAAATAATGTTAAACCTATTTTGTAAATTTACGAATTTGGTTAGTAATTATGTTTTTATTTTTGTAAAATTTATAAATTTGGTTAGTAATTTATAATGATTCCATTTTTGTAAATTTATAAAATTGGTTAGATATAAATTATTAAATAATGATTATATAAAATGAAAAAATTTTTATTTATATTGCTTATTGTTGGGATACAATTATTACTTTATACATATTCAAAAAAAGAATGCTGTGATTTAGTTATCGAATATGCAAATTATTTTTCAAAAGATTATCGAAATATATTTACAATCATTAATAGTGTATGCAAAGAAAACTTTTTAGAACTTCTTTTTTAGAACCAATTACACAATTAATACAATTCTCCTCCTTACTATCTTATCTGAAAGAAGTTTTACACGAAAAACAATTACAAAGATTTAACTTTTTAGAATTTTTATGTAGGATTAATAGTATAAATGATATTAATGAAGCAAAAATTAAATGCATAAATATATTAAATGAAGATATAATTAATGATGATCAAAGAAAATATCTTTTAAATCTTATAAATACAATTATATATACTATCTGCGTTAAAACAGATTAAAAATGCTAACTAACGAATTAATATATAAAATTATTGAAATTCTTTGTAATGATATAATTTTAAAAGAATTAGAAGACCATACTCATACAATAATTACTTCGAAATATTATCTAAAAAAAGAATCAACATTTTACAATTAATAAATAAAATATTTAAATTTTATTTTGACCAATATTTTAGTAAGAAATATGCTGATTTATTTGAGATCGAAGATATAAATAATTATTGTAATTTATTATTACAATTGTTAAAACTATGTACAAATAGATGTTGGTTTGATAAATTTAAAAATAACTTCCTTGACAAAAAAACTAATAATATGTTTCATTTTTGGGAAATTATTATTTTAAATGGATTACTCATATTAGATAAAGAGTTTTATCATTCTTCTGATTTCTTTATCAATTTAAGTTGTTTTAAATTTTTTTACATTATGTAAATTTTCAGAATTTATACAAAAATGTAATTGTGATGTAATCTAACAATGATAGCAAGTTAATAATTTTCCAAATAGATTAGAAGTAAAAAAAAACAAAAGATAACAAATACTAGTATTATTATTGTAATTATTGTGATTTTTATTAATTTATAACTTTATATGAAAATATTAAAAAATATTCATTAAACAACAATGATGATAATTATAGACAAAAATGCAAAAAAAATTAATTATTTCATTTAGCATTTCCTTTTTTTTTATTTTCTTTTTATTATAAAATTAAATAATAAAATTTTTATAAAAAGAATTACAATCCATTTATTTTAAACAAACTAAAATAGAAAAACTTTCCAATGATATTTTATTAAATATTTTTGAACTATTGTTACCACATCAACAAGAAAAATAGTATGTGGTGGCCTAGTGAAGTGGTCTAGTTGTCACCCCACCAAGTGGCAGGTCTAGAGTTCGAATTCCATGGATGATGTTTTTCGAAAAATAGATTTGCATTAGGTAATGATTATCTATCGATCGGTTGAATCTAGAAATCTGTAATCTTGGTTGCACCATCTAGAATGGGAGCTTCAGCATAGAAATGCCAAGAAACCGGGATGATTGAAACCCGTTTGGGAAGACCTGAGTAAGGAATAACTACAATCTTCAACAGTGCTACAGGAAAGACCCGAATTTAGAAGTTAGGACCGAGATTGAGAACCGAACGAAAACAAGATCCTTTAGTAGGGAGATTTACCAACCCAACCGCCAATTTAGAAAAGCTGAAAATCTGCGAGGCCGTTACAGAGTATACCAACCCTGGCCAGCTAGCGTGGGAAACTAGTGGTAGGGGCCCTACCCACCAAGATCAGAGGCTATAGAATTCAGGCAGGAAACCAGTTGGATGGAAAAATGCCAGGCATGTCTGGAGGACCAGCCAACCAAATTTGAGGAAAAGGACATGTGCTGTGAAATCATGTACCAAGACGAGACGAGGGCACCAGGTACCTAATGCCAAGCCAAGATTGAATCTTCTGGG